TAAAATCTTGTTTTGAGATTTTGTACCATTGTTTTTATGTTTTTTTCTTTAAAATAAAATACCTGATGAGAAAAAAAAAACAAAGATATCACCTGAAAGAGTAGAGTTGGAATACTTTAGGCTGTTGTGTATGGGAGATTCTGGTCATCTCTAAACACCAGAATGCTGCTAGAAATCCTTCTAGTAAAGACCCGTTTCAGGAGATTTCTATTAGGAAGGACTGTGTTGGTTGTGTCCTGCTTACTCTTCTCTTATTGCTGGGACACAATATCCGACACCCAAAATGAAGGAAGGAAAAGTTCATTTAGCTCACAGTTTGAGGAGGTTTAAGTTCATACAAAGCTGGCTCCAAGTCAGACTGGCACATGGCAGAGGGCAGCAGTTCATAGTGGTGGAATACAGCAAAACAGCAAGAGCACATGGGAGGAGTAATTGCGACAGTGGCAACTGAGGGAAAGTCTGTCTCCCTTATGTTGCATTCAATCTACCTGCCCCAGGCTGAGTGTAGCACTCACACCCATGATCCTAGCAGGATTTACACCCACAATCCCAGCAGCACTCATATCCATATTCCCAGCACTGGATCATGAATTAATCACAAAGTCTAGAAGTTCATCCCGTAACTGCATGAGGCTTTGGCACGACAACTGGACACAACCCATAACAGTTGTTGAACTCCAGATGGTGTATGTTATGGCTTGGCAGAAAGTTTGTCTGTATTTTGCTCCTGTCCAGAAACTTTTCTTGAGACTAAGATTAAAGGTGGGTGCCTAATTAATCTAGTAAACAAAATTTCAAGGCAGTCGAATGTTGAGGCTGTGGGACAGCTATTGTTGGGGGCTTTAAGCCAGATTTATGTTGAGATTCAAGAGCAAAGAGCCCAGCAGGATGATTTAAAATGTTGTGAGTTTGGCCAGAAAAGAAAAAGCTACAGTAAAGCTGTGGACTGCAAAGATAAAGTTGAGGAGATCTGCATTGCTGATAAGGAACAGGAGAATATGAAAGATAGCCTGAGGGCATCACAAGAAGCAACAAATCTCTACCTTTTGCAGCCTCAAAATTGCAATTGATGTACCCTGAAAAACTATCTATCAAATTCAATGATGAGATAAGATTCTTCCATGACAAAGAACAACAAAATGAATTCATGACCACAAAACCAGCTCTACACAGAGTACTGACAGTGGGCCAGGGAGATAGCTCAGCAGCATAAGTGCCTGCCTGGCAAGCACAAAGCCCTGAGTTCGAACCCCAGTACAAAAAAAGAGTACTGACATATTCTAGAAAGAGACAGACAACAAAGCAGAAAGAAAGAGAGAGAGAGAGAGAGAGAGAGAGAGAGAGAGAG